TAATTTGGTGCTACGAATGGTAAAACTTACTGACGATGCCGGCGAAACGTCTGGTAATGTACCACATCCACTGTCCTACTCTGGAAATGATGATGCGTTTCTATCAGTCTTCCCACCATTATGACCAAGTTGCGAAAACAAGGTTAAACAACTTCTATACAACGAAAGGATACTGCGACCACACAAAAGGCTACACCATCTTGGTCTTCATATCTTCAGATTAAGTTAAGCTGGATAAAAATTCCTGAATATGAGGCGATAGTATTGTTAGTGCAGCACAAAGGAAGGGGAGAAAGCCGAAGAATCTGACAAGACTCACCTGACTTGCATGGCCCCTGACTGACCATGAAAACAGTACCGTTTGCGGCCTCTTGAACGGCGGTCATCTGGCAGCTGGAATAAGTGACCCCGTTCGAGCCGCACACGAGGCCGTCTTTCAGGCAATAGCAGATGCTCTGCTGACCGACAATATTGGCGTCGACATCGGAGCGCTCTCGGCACTCCAGATTCACGCCACACCGGCCATGCCAAGCGTTGGCAGAGACTCCCGGGCCGCCACGCATCAGCCGAACCAGGTCGGCCTCTAGATTGCACAGTTGGTCCTGCTCCAAACCGCATATGCTGCAGCACCCACATCGGTCGCGCACCAGGCCCATGTTGCACTTTGTGATGGGCGGACACAGCGTCGTGTTGCATCTGTCCGGACACGGCTCCAGCTCGTCGGCCGGTCCGAGACTCTGCGAGCCCAGCCGGCCACGGTGGGGCAAGTCGGCGGCCGAGTCCTGAGACCGGAAGGACTGGTCGTTCGAGAGCCAGCCTGCATCGGCGCGGCTGACGAGGAGAACTGCCAGCCACAAGAGGATCGGCAAGTTGGGACTTGTGGAGGCAATCGGCATGTTGTATCTGTATCCTGCTGTGTGGAAGTGCAGCAAAGTGGCTTAATGCGGTTCGTTCGCGAGATGCTAATCCTCACTACTGTCTGGCAGACATGGCGAAGAAACAGACTCCTGTACTTTTTAGTCGTTCTGTCGTTCTCACGCTTGCTCGGTTTTTCATTTCCCATTTTCCCCTTTTTCTCTCTCCGCCTGTATCTCCTAGCCTATATTTTCCGCTTTCGGGTGGAAATCGATGTCGACTGGTGTCGACTGATGTCGATGACTGGTGTAT